AATTTTATCTAAATCATTACATAATAGTGTTTATTAACTTCTAAATATTTGGTGTTTGTTAAAATGGATAAAGTCTTCTTCTTCTTCTTCCTTTTTTGTTTTGTTTTTTTTTTTTTTCTTTCTTTCTTTTGCTTTGGTTTTCTTATTGATAAATGCAAATTTGAGTGGTTAACTTCTCAATGAAATGAAAAAGAATGGAAGCATGTCTCACATGTTAAGTTTCTTGTAGCCGTTGAGTTGGTATATGAAATAAATTGGTACAACATTCCTGGAAAAACCCGAATTTCTTTTGTTCTTCAACTTGGTTGATTTGGATTTCAGTTGGGATATGAAATGAATTAGTCCTAAGCCATTGGATTGGTGCAGAACCCATCTTCTAAAAGTTGGTTGATTTGGTTTGACACAGGAACAAATTAAAAACACATCTTAATACACACGTAACGCGCCCACCACCCCAAGTTGCATCTCTCAGAGTTTGTCTGCGCATATGCATGTTGAAAAGGACATACACACGCCAATGCTTTGACTGAGTACACGATCCTTATTATATGTCAAACAGTCTCATGAGGAATCATCATCCACCTAAGATGAAAGACTTCACAACGTCTAAAAAAAATTTCATGAATCCTCCAATATATATAATAGCTGCCAGTGCCAGCTAATGAATCGTGTTAATGATCTATAATTAACATGGAATAAACCATATTAGTAACGCTGGATTTTGATAATTATCCAACCTCGTCCTTTTCTATTTTGTTGGTTGCAGTTTGCATGTTTAGTGACGATGAAAGTTATTGCTATTATAGAAATGGAAGGAATACAAAGAGGGTCTGAGATATACTTGTAGCAACAAATGAAACGAAACAAACGATCGAATGTTGGGTGATGGATACTGCTGAATCCAACAAGGTGGACTTTCACAGCTACTCTTTTACGTTAATGATGTAATTAGACAACTAACCCCTTTTACCCATTCGACAACTCAATCTCAACATCTCAACATCCCGACAAGTCTTTTGTTTACTTCTTCATTTTTTTATTATTATTTAGGTTTACTTGAAGTTGTCTTGTTTGGTACTCTGTCTCTATATATATGTTACAGAATAATTATCATTCGTTGATTTTTTCTTTAAATTAAAATATTAGGGACAAATTATATTTTGAAGATATTACATATTAGTTTTGAGTTAAAAAAAATTTAAATCTTAATTTTAAATGGGTTTCATTTAATTAAAATTTAATTTAAAATTTAAATTTTTAACCTATTAAATATTGATATTTATATTTAAAAATTAAAAATTTAAATCAAAATCAAAATTTTATTTTATTAAATATTATTTGAAAATTTTTATAGATATATAATATTAATATTTTACAGATATTTTTTTTTTTTTTTTTTTTTTTGCCTGTCTTTTTTTTTTTTACTGAATTACTTCTATTGTAATAAATTTTGTGACAGGATGGATAATTATTGTGGATAGAGGGAGTGCTGAATTAACCATGAAAGGCCTCTTTGGAGCGGAAGTCAGAGTAGGGGATTGATTGAAGTAAACAGCTTAATTGAGGGGCTAAGTTTGGCAATTTGCAGCTTTTGCTTCACTCCGACGTTTCGAAGCAGGGCCCCACGTTTCGGTCCACAATAATAATATAAAAAAAGGAATCGAGGACCCACGTGTCCTCCGAAACTGCCTTAATAAATCTCGTTGCGTAAAAATCGAGGTAAAGTTTCACGGCCCCACTCTCCATGCATACATCAATTTTTTAGTGTTTTTAATATATATATTTTTAGAATATAATTTATTTATTTTTCATTAATTAATATTTAAAATAATAATAATAAATATTAATTTTTTCATTAATATTATATAAATGATTTTAATTAAATATTTAATTTAATAAAACTTAATTTTTATTTTTTAATAATAACTAATATTAAAAAATATTCTTAATTTACACCAATCACAAATTTTAAAAGCCAACCGAGCCTGTGGTTCAATTGGTTGGCCTCCAAGTTTTAGGACTTAGGTGAAGCGGAGGTCAGGGTTTCAAGCTCTGCCACCACCGTAAACTCCACCAACTTGCGACCTAATAGTCGCGTGCCTCAAATGAGGGGGTGAAAGGTTCACTTTCCTGAAAAAATTCCAGCTGCTAAAAAACTAACTCTACCAACTTCCTAACCATTTACCTGGTCAAAAAAAAAAAATCACAAATTTTAAAAACCCAATTTTACACCTTTTCCCTTCACGCTAAACTAAACTAAGGTTTTTAAGTTTGTTGGCAGTGGCACCAACTTAGCTTAATTCTTGGTTGTGGCCTTATCTCTATATGACAACTCACAATTTTTCACGCTAAGCCAGTCATCTTGTCATGATTATCCACCGTTTAATTTGCCCCTGAATCAATGAGACTGATAATTTGAGGTCGTTAGTTGTTTTCAATTGGGCAAATATTAGGCTAAAGTCTGACTAGCCTCAGGGGTAGCTGCATCTGTTTCACAAAATTTATTGACAACTAGATCTCAGTTAAACCTTTTAGTTGATCAAAAAGAGGCTCTTAACATCCTAACTAAATTTCAAGGATTTAAATTTAATTAAATTGTTAATTTGATCTTTTAATTATTATACAAACCCTTGATTTAATTTTTAAAATCTTTAAATCTAACTTTAAATTAGTTCTTTCATTAAAAATTAATTGACATATTTATTATTTAATGACATAAAATTGTTATTTAATAGTTATGTGTCATATTAATAATAAGATACGTCAATTATTTTTAAATAGATAACTAATTTGAAGTTAAATTTAGAAAATTTAAAAATTAAATTAGGAACTTTTCAGTTTAGGGACCAAGTTAGGCGTCCATATAATAGTTGAGGGACCCAATTTGGGTTTAACCTTTAAATTTCGAGAAGATATAAATCTAGTGATTTTCTCATCTTCTCACGATTATCTACCGATAAATTGCGCCTGAATCAATCAGACAGTGATAAATATCACGCGTTGTCCCCACGTGTACTGTATGCAATTAACTTCGTCGTGATCTGTGTAGCGCCGGATGGATAATTTTCTCTTTCCCACAATACACGCTTTCATCTGTGACCGAGAGGGCCCACCGGATTTCTGAGTACTAACGTTTCAAACATGCCGAAAGAGGAACCTTTGAAGTTAGTCTTGAACTTTTACGGTTTTGGAAATTAAGTCCTTTAATATCCTCTTTTTTTTTTGGAGATATTTTATGCAAAATGATGTTCAGTTGCATAATGGTTTGTATAATATAATATAATAT